TTTTCATAATATTTAAATAGTTATTAAAAAAATTATATTAAAAAAACCAATTCCAAAAATTTATGACTCACACTGTAAACATTGGTTTCCAGGTGACGGGATAAATAGGAGTCAAACCCTTCCGCGAAAAGGTCCTTATATAAATAAATGAGATAATGCTTAAGAAGGAATAAATTAAAAATGAATTAATGTAACTACCATTTTGTATACTAAGCTCAAAAACAGATGTGGCGTAAGGAGGCGGGAAATAAAATAATGTCAGAGCGTTATTCAAATTAAATATTATAAAGTTGGAATCTGATTGATCAATCACCTATTTACCACGTTTTCCAAAATAAAAATTAGAAAAATAATTATTAAATATTACCTTGACATAAACTTCCCTACCATCCTTAATGTCTTAGACACCAAAGTATAAACGGGACCAGAGATTTTGGATCGTAGTCAACTTAATGCAACCAATCTGAATTCAGGATTAGATTCCTTGTTGTATACATCAAAGTTAAAAATTAAGATATAATTACTTGTAAGACATGCATTGTAATTCTGCTCTAAAGCAGTAAGCATATTATAGCTAATCATCAATGTCGCATTGAAATTTCTCAGCTTTCAAGTTTACTCTTAGTTTCTTTGACATAAGCTTATTCAACTACAAACTATATATATCACATTTGATAACGTCAGTAACATTAAAGGATAATATTAACGAGATTATGTATATACGTTGCTTACAAACCTTTGTTTTTTAATGTAATGTGTAACATGTTAACTCACAAAACAAGAACGAAGAGATGTAGATAAAAAATAATTTATAATATAAAGCACGAGTTTAAGAACGTGCCTTATCTGCTGGTACTTTTAAAAAAATATTAGCGAAAAATCTATTAAGAAGTTTTGACCTTTTCTTAATACAGTAGCTATAGTTATACTTCAATATATCACTACTAGGGGTATGTCTAACATATACAGTAGTAATAATTTACGTATATTATGCTAAGTATTGAATTAATATTTATTCAGACAAATTTATATTTAACCATAAAAACAATCAATTTATAATACTGTAGTAAATACAAAGGCATAAAAATCCATCATTTATTGGTATGTATCTTTCTAAGATTTTAAGTTATACAGTATTATAGTTAGAAACTGAACAAAATAAAAATACAATGTAACTTTGAAATTAATCTTACAAGATCTTCAAAAATTTCATCAGCAGATAAATAGCAATTATAATAGCGAAAATTGCTATTAAAAATAAAATATTTATAAGTAATGTATTTTATTGAGAGAACTTGACCGAAATTAATAAATACCTCATTTTTCCCGCAAAATCTGCATGATTTGTAGCACATCCAATATGCAATTGATCTTTGTTGAACTTGACACTTTGCGTCTGGACAAATTCAATGCTCTTGAACCCAACCCATTTTCCATTTAAGTAAAAGTCCATACGCTTAAGAGGTTCTGAAAGTGTATAGGCTATATGATACCATTTATTTAGTTTAAGCCCAATAGGAATTGTTAAACCATTATTGTAGTTATCATTTGTCGAGAATCTGGCGGTAGGTTCTGAGGTGTTCGGACATAACCAAATACTGGGAGTTCGAGTATTATTATCTACTCCTGTATTTTATTTTCAGGGATAAAAGGACTTCAAATAACAGAATATTTTAACTCGCGGTTTTAAAACGACTTTATGATATATACCTTTATGAAAGATACTCTGCCAACCTGCATCATGATTCTGAACATTTAATCGCAAAGTCACTGATAATTCGTTATTTACAGAGGGTAATTCTCCATCATTAACGTGCATTTTATTAGCAGGAAAATCTAAAGGATCTGAGAATATCTCCTTATATTTCATCTTTGAAATCTCTGCTTAATTGTTACAGTTTCTCACAATGAATATTTCTGTACGTTATGTATATTTTTAAATTCTCAACATGAGTTT